TTCCCGAGTTCTAAGTCCATGTGTTCATTGCTGGGTTTAGAGTTTGGGCCTTGAAATCACAGAGACTGGAGGTGGACTCTATTGGTCCTTGGCCATGACAACTGAATGTAAGTCACTTCCTTATCTAGGGGACTCCCTTGCCTCATCTGTACACGGGGGATGGAAAGAACAGCTCAGAGTTATTGTAGAAGTGATATTATATGAGATAATTGTGTGTGCATGTGTGTGTGTGTGTGTGTGTGGTGCTGGGGACTGAACCCAGGGCCTTGTGCATGCAAGGTAAGCACTCTACCAACGGAGCTATAGCCCCAGCCCTACAGGAGATAATTTTTAAAGGGCTTAACACTGGTCCTAAAATGGGTCAACCAACTGTAGTTATTACCCTACTACCCCACAAATAGGAGAAGAAAGAAGGAATCTTTTGGTCCCACCTTTGGCCAAAGCTTTATAGGAACCAACACTCAGGCTTAAGAGTGGGGCTAGAGTGGAGAGAAAAGGGGACATGATCCATTCCTCAGCTTTGTCCTTGGACTTTATAGCATAAAGTGCACCTTGAAGAATACAGGCCCCTAATGAAAGCATGTTCTATGGCGGTGCTTTCCAATTTATGATCCTGAACCCCTCTTTGTTCCCCTAGACTTTCCATCCACCCCTTTACCTGCTCTGTTTTAGGCCCAGAGCTCGATACCCATCCAAAGCTAAGACCTAAGTCTTGTTCCATTGAGAACAGTGATGGTCACACCTTTCCTGACAAAGAAAGGAATGCCAGGTGCAGTGGCCCAGTGACTCTGGAGGCTACAGCAGGAGGATCTCAAGTTTGAGACCAGCCTCAGCAACTTAGTGAGACCCTGGGTTTGGTTTAGACATGAAGTCTCCCCGAAAAGCTGGAAGACCATGGAGATCAAGAAGCTAACTTGAGATGACAGCATTGGCAGTAAGCGGGGAAGTCAAGATTGCCCTATGCAGAAAACCACTGAGCCCAGATCCCCCCAGGGTTAACAGAGTGGCACAAGTCACCTCACAGGGAAGCAGAAGAAAGAAACTGGGGCTACGGGTGTCCTCTCTCTTCTCATATAATTTAGGCAGTCACCTTTTCTCCTACACGATGACCACCACTGAGCCTCCTCTTAGTCCACCGTTCCAGTCCAGGCAGTCTGCGGGCCATTCTGTATACTGGACTGTCAGGGAGATCCTCTGATACCAAATCTCACAATCCTACTAAGTCATCCACACACAGACAAATAGGCTGGGCCCGGGGGAGCACACCTGTAATCCCAGAAGCTCAGGAGGCTGAAGCAGGAGGATCACAAGTTCAAGGTCAACCTCAGCAACTTAGCAAGACCCTGTCTCAAAATAAGAAACAAAAACGGCTAGGGGTGTTGCTCAGTGGTTAAACACCTTTGGGTTCAATCCCTAGGAGCGCCCCCCCCCAAAAAAAAGGTGGTGTTTTTGGATACGATTGGAACCACATGTTGGTGGTATGTGCCTGTTTGTTTCTTCAGGAACATGAGAGCCCAGCCTTGTCAGAACCCAATCTTATTCCCAGTGGTGTTAACATCTAGCAAAAAGCCAAGCAGAGAATATGGCTCAAGGGAGTGTTTGACATCTGAGTAAAGGAAGAGAAAGAAGAAAAAAATAAACAAAGGTTCTGACCCGATGGATTCAGCAGACGCCTGTGGACATCCTGAAGGGCACTTGCGTGGTGGGGACAGCTGTGGGGGCTTCCCCGCCACCACCCCCTCACTCCCACTTGGAGCTACTTTGGGTAGATTAATTGACATTCTGGACTTCAGTAAATCAGCAGTAAAACAAAAAATCCAGCTGGTGGACAACTATCTGCTCCCCAGAAGGGTCTGAACTTGACTTACCCCACGGGGTGGCCGACACGGAGGGAGTGTTACCTGCTTTTCCACTTTTCCTGGGCGTGCGGGCAGCTCGAGCCTAGTTCCACTTTGCATTTCCTGGTGCACCTTTTTTGTCTGTCTGTTTGTTTGTTTCTTGGCCTCTTGGAAAGTAGTGGTCCCTCAGTGTCCCTAGGGGATAGGTCCCAGGACTCATGCTGATAGCAAAATCCGTAGTTTCCTGGGGCTGGGAGTAGGGAGGCCCCAAGGCCCCCCACCCCAGCTTGATCAGTAACCTTCCCCCTCCCCCCCTTCAAAGTATACTTAAAAAGTCAAATTCAAATGGCCACTTTTATGGAAAGGCTGGGAGCAGGGAGTCTTATCCTGCACCTGTACAGGAGGTAGACATCAGGACAAATAAGAACACCATGTGTTACAGCCCTGGGTCAAGTTCAGGGAGGGAAGGTCAGAGTAAAGAATGAGAGAAGCACCTCCAAAACTCTACAAAGCATCCTGGGAGCAGAAGGCCCCTCAAGTCTCCTGGCCCCGGGGGTTGGGGATTCTGCCTTGGTTCCTGAGAGCTAACTGGGACTTCAGCTCCATGGTTGAGGAGCTGGTAATGTCTCTGAGGCCAGGAAATAGGAACATATGAAACTAATGTGCTAGATTTTATTTTTAATTTGAAACAAGGTTAAAGTTTAATTTAAGCCCTGACTAATTTCCTTGGAACTGTGGGTATGTTGTAATCTGGATGGAGAATTTGAAAACTCCTTTTTTTTGGTGCTCGGGATTGAACCCAGGGGCACTTAACCACTGAGCGACACCCCAGCCCTTTTTATATTTTTTTAAATTTAGATACAGGGTCTTGCTGAGTTGCTTAGGGTCTCACTGAATTACTGAGGCTGGCTTTGAACTCTTTTTTTAAAAAATATTTATTTATTTATTTTTTTAGTTATTGGCGGACACAACATCTTGGTATGTGGTGCTGAGGATCGAACCCCGGCCGCACGCATGCCAGGCGAGCGCGCTACCACTTAAGCCACATCCCCAGCCCCCTGGCTTTGAACTCTTGATCCTCCTGCATCAGCCTCCCCAGCTGCAGGGATTACAGACATGAGCCACTGTGCCCAGTGGCTAAAAATCACTACTTTGAAGGAAACTGATGCATGGATCTCTTTGACCTCTGTTCTTGAGAACACTGAACAAGTTTGTAACAAATGCCATGGGGCAGACAGATATGGCTTCATCAATAAAGCAGTGAAAAGTGGTTGTACTTGTTAAAACAACAGCAATGACAGGTTTTCTGAATTGTAAGGAACTACCAATACAGCCCACAAATGAAGTCCACTGACGGGTAAATTTGGCGGGAAGTGATGTATACCAAGTAGTCAGGGAGAGGGGGGATGGGATTTTCTCTCTAATTGTTGGCAATTTTGGGAAATATCAAAGAATCATATGATCTGGAAGAAATTTTGTATATCAAGAATGTTCCCCAAACTGGGCATGGCGGGCCCACGCCTGTAATCCCAGCTGGCCTTAATCCCAGCGGTTTTGGAGGCTGAGGCAGAAGGATCAAGCATTTAAAGCCAGCCTCAGCAATTTATTGAGGCACTATGCAACTCAGTGAGACCCTGTCTCTAAATAAAATACAAAATTGGGCTGGGGATGTGACTCAGTGGTTGAGTGCCCCTGAGTTCAATTTCCCTAGTATATATATAAAAAAATGTCCCCAAATTAGACTTTGCAGCATAATTCAGGCTTTCTGGAACCTCCTCCTCCCCTTGGCTGGAGCAGCAGGGTAGTTTGATTGCTCCCTTAGAAATGCAAATCAACTCCATCACCTAGTGTGAGCGAGTCTGTTACTTACTCCACGTGGACTGGTTCCTCAGAGATGGAATGGACTGTTGTTTCAAAGCCACTTTGTTACAAAGCACCTCAGCCCTGTAGGAAAAGTGTGGAAGGGAGAGGGCTCTGGAGAAGACAGGGAAAAACTTCAATGTTACCTTGAACATTTGCCAGGTCTAAGGACTTGGAAGGCCTCATGATAACTCCCCAGGTCTCGGTTTAACTTTTGCACACACACACACACACACACACACACACAGAGGAGGATGATCACACACTCCTTGGATAAGATGCACCTTGTGAGAATGAGCTCAAGTAGCAAGTCACTTAGCACAGAATCTGGCACCTAACAAGCCTTCACTCAATAATCACAACATTTTATTTTCGTAATGCTTTCTGGCTGATGTCATGCTGGACAATAAGTGCAGGACTGAGCATCTCCTTTTCTAGGTCACTGTGTCCACAGTTAGAAAGCTGAGCCAAATTGCATGTTCACTTGGAGCCAGGCTCCGTCCTCAGGCAGACCCAGGAGGCAGGCAAGTGGGCAAAGAGTGGTACTGCCTTATGGATGGCCTAAGGAGCATGGAGAGCCCCGGATCATTGTGACAGGGGTCCACTTGGTGCTTTGACTATATCCCTTGTGGCTTTGAAACTTAAACTTTTCTTTTTTTCCCAACCTTCTTCTTTCTGATCTTCTCCCTGATCTTTTCCAACCTTCTCCTCTTCCCTGATCTTCTCTTTCCTGATCTCTCCTCCATCATCTCATTTTCTCTGAATCACCTCTTCAAAAACCCTCTGTTCCTGCTGATGGGCAGAATCACAGCCTCTGGGACAGAAGTCCCCTGTGCTTCTTCTCCTCTTCTATCAAAGCAATAAATCCTTTGTCCTTTTTCTCAAAACCATGTCCTCATTTTTGGATTGGCATTGAGGGCAAGGACCAAGCTTTTGGCAACATCATTAGTAGGTTCTGAGTTTTTTTTACTTTTTTCAAAGAGTTAACCCATGATCAGAAGTACATTTTGCATTGATATTGGTACCTATGTGTTTATGGATGAAATAAACTTCATAAGACAATGCAGATGGTGATGCACCTAATATTTTATATTCTACTTAAAAAAATTGATTGCAGGACTAGGGGGTGTTTAGGAGTGGTGTACCACTTGTCCTAGCCTGCAAAGGCCCTAGGCTGTGCATACGTATACGCGTCTATATGTAGACATATATACATGTAGATAGATTGCAACCCACCATACTGATTTTATTATGTATTAATGAATCCAAATGTGCAATTTGACAAACACTGCTTTCATCCAGTCTTCAGGTGGCAACAAGGAAATTGAGGCACAAGGAGGGGAAAGTTCTTCCTTAAGGAAAGACAAGGATGTCACATGACTGAATTCATATGCATGGACCCCACAGCTCTGGCTGTTTCAACAAACCACTGGAGGTAATCTTCCAGGCTCTGCTGATGCAATTCCTGACATGAGAGGGTAGAAGGGACAATTAAAAAAGAATCTATTATTGCCAGATGTGGTGGCATATACGTATGGTCCCACACTTGGGAGGCTGAGGCAGGAGGTTTACAAGTTTAAGATCAGCCTGGGCAATTTACTGACCCTGTCTAAAATTTAAAAATTTAAAAAATGAAATGGGGATGCAGGCTAGTGGTAAAACCCTCCTGGGTTCAATCCATGGCACCCCCCCCCAAATATTATTATCATAAAAGGGTCCACAAAGGCCCTTAGTCAAGTCTTTTAAGAGCAGGTCCACAGCTAAGAGGAGATACTATTATATTTCCCCTGGAGTTCTGAGCCTCGCCTTCACCTGCCAAATGCAGGTAGGAGTCTCACATCCTGCCAGGCAGCCTCTGAACTGTCCATGCTGTCCTCACTGGGAGCTGAGTTGTTCCAGAACTTTCTGTCTTTCTGTAAATAGCAAGATGGCTTTCGGGAAGCAGTTTGCCCAGCCAGCAGCCTGTCTGGGATCTGCCCCCAGGCCTGCCACCATTTGTGGTGTTAGGGAAGTTTATCAGATCTTGAAGAGCCACCTTACCCAGACAGCTGGGAGGCTGCAAGGTCACCTCATGGGCTCCCGTTGCTGTGGGGTCCTGGCAGGAGGCACTTTCACTTCTGCACCAACGCAAGGCCAGGCTCTTTCTTGGTGTTCCTTGTAGATGGGTCTTCTGACTCCCTCTGTCCTGCCCATCTACAAGGAAAGTTCAAAGCCAGCCTCAGCAATGGTGAGGCACTAAGCAACTCAGTGAGACCCTGTCTCTAAATAAAATACAAAATAGGGCTGGGATGTGGCTCAGTGGTCGAGTGCCCCTGAGTTCCATCCCTAGTACTCCAACCCTCCAAAGAAAGATCCGAGTTGCCATGATTCACCAGTGGTTTATGTGACAGAAGAACAGGCTGATTTTCTTGATGCCAGATTTTAAGATTTTTTTTCCTTTACCTCTTTTCTTTTCCTTCCTTCCCTCCCTCTTTTCTCCCTCTCTTTCTTTCCTCCCTCTCTTTCTTTCTTTTTCTGTGTGTGCCACTGGAAATTGAACCCAGGGCCTCATATGCATGCTCATCACTGACTTACACCTCCAACCCCTTTTATTCCGAGACAAGAGTCTTGCTAAATTGTCCAGGGTGTCTTGGAACCTGAGATCCTCCTGCCTCAGACTCTTAACTGGCTGGAATTACAGGTGTGTGTCACCATATCCTGCTTCCCTTTTTCCTCAAATAGCATATTTGTGTGTGTGTGTGTGTGTGTGTGGAAATTGACCTGCCATATGGTCCCCTGCAGGCTAGCCAATGCTCCATCACTTTGTTGTGTCGATAGCCTTTTAAAAACATTTTATTTTGATGCAGGTTCTTGCTAAATGGCCCAGACTGACCTCAAATTTGCAATCCTCCAGCCTCGGTCTTCAGAGTAGCTGGGATTACAGGCATGCACCACTGAGCCTGTCTCAAATATTTCAAGTGCCTTCTCAATGTTCCACACAGGAGATAGGACAGCCAGCGAAACTGACTAGGTCTCTTGTCTGATGGTGCTTATCTTCTAGAGAAAGAAAGGCACCTGGTAAACAGGTAAATAAACGACTGGGTTCTAGATAGTCCGTAGTGCTGTGAGGAAAAGAATGCAAAAAAGATAATGAGATGGAATGACAAGGGCTCTGGGACAGATAACATTGAACAGAAACCAGCCAAAGTTATGTCAGAGGTGACAGGGACCTGGGCACCAAGGGCTGTAATGAAGGCTAGCTTAGGTGGCTGCCAGAGAGCAACTGGGAGGAGAGAGATAAGAGTGGCATCCTGCTTTGAGAATCTTTGAAGTTCATAGAGGTGCTCTTAAGCCCCAGTAAGGAACACAGATTTTATCTCAAACAATGGAAATTCATCACTTTGTGTGTGTGTGTGATGCTGGGAATTGAACCTAGAGTCTTGTGCATGTGAGTTAAGCACTCCACCAACTGAGCTATAGCCCTAACCTGAATTTATCACTTTTTAACATCTTTCTGCCCTTTCTTCCTGAAAGGTACAGATTTCTGTTTCTACCTGCCTAAAACTTATAGTTTTAAGACATCCTCAAAGCCAACTCCTACTAACTTCAGAGTAACACTGTTTTTTTTTTTTTAAATAAAAAACAAAACCCAAACTGTATTCTCTTGTGCAAAGGACATTGGGACAAGAGATAAAGGAAAAGTAATCACTTCCTCATCTCTCCACCACAGCTGGCAACTCCATTTCCATTTTCCCTATCCTGTTCCACTTCATGCTAATATGTGTACTTTTTATATATTTCATTAGGTGAGAATGACCTAGGGCATGCAGTAAAATGGAAATAATTTACCAATGAATGCATGCACTCCCTCCTTCCTTTCTCTACCTACCTACCTCCTACTGAAAGTGCAATAAACATTGTGTGTTTTTTCTTTTTTTTTTTCTTTCTTATTTGCAGTACTAGGGATCAAACCAGGGTCTCACACTTGGTAAGGAAGTACTCTACACGTGAGTCATATCCTTAGCATCTTTTTTTTTTTTTAATTAACATTGGTAACTATACACTGAGCCAGGCATTGTGCAAACCTTGGTAAGTTCATTATCTCAACAATCAATATCACAATTCTAGTGAGGTAGGTGCTATTATTATTTTTGGTTTGTGGAGACGTGGTCTTTCCCCACCAGACTCAGAAAGACTAAATTGCCTGAGTATGCAATTCGTCATCACTAGTCATGTGAGCAGGATTCAAACCTTTTATGCCAAATTGCAAAGCTAGACCCTTATACAGACCCCCCTCCTGGCAACTCCCTTGGACCAGGAAAGTACCACCAACCCCGGTTGTTTTAATTAAATTAATTAATTAATTTGTGGTGCTGGGGATTGAACCCTGGGCCTTGCACATGCCAGGCAAACACTACCACTGAGCCACATCCCCTGCCCGCTCTCCCCACCCCCACTCCCATTATATTTGGACAGAAAATTCTGTTTCTCATCAGTAGGGACAAAATATGGACTGTCATTTATCTCACAGGTACTATACATAGTGCTGATCATTCATATGCAGATACCTTTGTAAACAGTTTCTGTTTACTGAAGTCTTTCAAATGTATGACCTCACTCGATACACAATAAACAACTGGGGAGGACTTCCCTCCAGTCCCCCGTCAACAATGAAGACAGAGAAGAGAGAACTGAAGTGATGGGCCAAGGTCATCCAAACTGCAGAGTCTGCCAGGCCAGGTAGATGAGGAAGGACTGGGGTCAGTGGTTCATGATTATCAGTAGATACTAAGTCTACCCCCACCCCCATCAGTGGCTCTGACTGATATTACCAGGGCTGATATTAGGAACAAATTTTATCAGTTTGCTTCTGCATAGTTTATACTACTGAGTGCCAAGATTTGCCCCTGATTCTTGACTTTTGGAAGCAATTTGCCATTTCCTATATCACTCATCCAAAGAATCTGTTGAAGTATCATAAAACACGTCGTATGTCCAAAGTGACCCAGCTGGGCCAATGTGATGGTGGGCTTCTTGATTTATTTCTATTTATTTATTTATCTATGTATCTATTTATTGGTACCAGGGGCCCTTAACCACTACGCCACATCCCCTGGTTTTTTTTGTTTTTGTTTTTTTTAAGAGACAGGATCTCACTAAGCTGCTTAGGGCTTGCTATTGCTGAAAGTGCTGTCCTTGTCCCAATGCTAATCCAATAACAAGGACATGGACTTGAGAAAAAGGAGAAAGATGGTTTATTGCTTTGCTAGCAAAGGAGAAACACAGAGGACTCCTGTCCCAAAGGCTGTGATTCTGCCCATCAGCAGGAGCAGGGGGCTTTTTAAAGAAGTGATTCAGAGAAAATGAGATTAGGGAGGAGAGATCAGTAAAGGAGAAGTTCAGGGAAAAGCAGATCAGGGAGGAGAAGGTTAGGGAAAAGAGATCAGGGAGAAGTTCAGGGAGAAGGTTGGGAAAAAGAAAAAAAAAAGTAAGTTTCAAAGTCACAAGGGATAGATATAGTCAAAACATCAAGTGAACCCTTGTTACATTGCTAAATTGCTGAGGCTGGATTTAAACTCCCAATCCTCCTGCCTCAGCCTCCTAAACCACTGGGATTACAGGTGTACACCACTGTGCCCGGTAGATGGTGGGCTTCTTGATTGGAAGTTGCAAATTTGCCTGCTATTTGTGCCATTATACAGGTGAAGAAACTGAGTTTCAGCGGCTACGTGGCACTCATAACATTATTAGGGTCAGGACCATAGTCTAATTTTTTTTTTCTTTTTGATACTAGGGTTGATACCAGGGGCTCTTTACCACTAAGCCACATCACCAGCCCTTTTATTTTTGTTTCCAGACAGAATTCAGCTAAATTGCTTAGGGCCTTGCTAAATTTTGGAGGCTGGCCTTGAACTTGCAATCCTAGCCTTATCCTCCTTCAGTAACTAGGATGATAGTGTGCACCACCATGCCTGGCTCTAATTTTGCCCAAGATGAATCCAAGTTTACTCTCTGTTTTTCCCACTATATCTATTTTCCTCCTCAAAAAGACAGACATGAAACATTCAGCAATTCTAAAACGATTTATCATTGCAGCACTCCCAGGAGAATGCCCCTTATAGATAATTCTCCAAACCCCATCTGAGCATCTGGTGAATGGTTGGATCTTTCCTCATGGCAGCTGGAAACCAGCAAGTAAAACATTTACCAACTTATTGACATAATGGGTCTGGGTGTTTGTTTAGGTGTCGGGCAGTTATAGATTACTTTTTAACACCCTATTTTGAAATGAAAATAAATATGAGAATAAGCCCAAAATGATCCTAATAGAATGCCAAGAATAATCAATATTGAGAATGATAAATTTGTAATCATGGGAAGGCACATGGTGGAATGATTAGCTCTGCCTGTTGCACCTTCTGGGAACTCAGGAGGCCTTTGGGGAGGAACTGGAGGGGGCTGAAGCAGGGCTGAAGGGAGACACTTGGAGAGTTAGTGGGTGGAAGGATCAGGAACTCCAGTCAGTTCCAGGATCTCAAGGCTGTAACAGGATCCCTTGTTGGTGGTACCCAGGGGCCATAACATATCATAGTCTCTTGCAAATGGAGCTGACTTCTAAAAGGTGAATTATAAACTAGCAAGCCACGAAAAGAGATAGAATAGTTGACCTTTCAGAACTTTAGCATTTCTAAAAGGAGGGAAGTCATTCCTGGAATCTTGGGGAGGGGAAGACAGAAAACAGGAACTATAGCAGCTGATATCTTTTTTTTTTTTTTTAATCATGCATATTTTTAAAATTTGTTTTAATTAGTTATACATGACAGTACAATGACCTTGACATATCATACATTTGAATTAGATGGATATAATTTCTCATTTTTCTGAGTGTACAGGTTGCAGAATCATATTGATCATGCCATCACATATATACACACAGTAGCGGCTGATATCTTCCCAGCACTCAAGGATACTCAACCACTGAGCCGGATCCTCCTGCCTCAGCCTCTGGAGCCTCTGAGGTTACAAGTGTGCACCACCAAACACCTTTTGAGCAGTCTTAAAAGTTCTTCTCTATTAGGAGTATGTGGACACAGATGCACCAGGACAGGTTAGCTCACCAGGTCACAGGACCAAGCCCCTGGACCTCCCAAATTGCAATGTGGCTTCCCTGGGGCAGGTCTGTCTGCAGGAAGAACAGTGAGCCCAGGCTGCAAGCCCCGTGGAGGATAGGTATTCAGATTAACCACTGGGTCTGGCCAACAAAAGCTCACCGTAACCTGGAAGAAGTGTTTTGGTAGGAGAATAGGCCTGATGCCAGCTTGTGGGCTGTGCCAGAGAGGGGTGAAGGAGAGTCGCGCCAACTGCTGTGAAAGCTAAGGCCTTAGCTGGAGGGAATGCTGAGGATTATTTGCTTAGTTGCTTGTTTGTTTATTAGTGCGAGAGACTTGAGCATGCTTGAATGTTGATGGGAAGAGCTGGGGAAAAGAGATAAAAGATTAAGGATACTCCAAGCAGAGGTGATGATTGGCAGGGTGCTGCACCCCACCCCCTGCAGAAGGACAGCAGGCTGCAGGCTCAAAGGAAGAAGCGAGGGAGACTGGAAGTGTGGATGCGGGGATGTCTTCTGTGCTGAGAGGGAATGAGCCAGCCGTGTGTGGGTGCAGAGCAGGTTGGAGATTTTGCTTTGAGGTGCATCCTCAGCAAGGGCAGAGCGGAAGTTGCCCAGAACGCATTATGACGGCCTGCTTTCGCTCGCTCGGGAGCACAAACCCTCTCGGTGGCCAGTGGCACAATCATGAGCAAAAGTCAATCTAAGGAACCCTGTCTTTTGCATAAAAATGAAAGTGACATTAGCAACTGCCGCCAAGGAGACTAGACACCTCTTTTCCTGTTTACCCCGCAGCACATGTGCCTTTGCCAGCCCCTTGTGTTCATTTCTCCCCAGAGCGAGCACAGGAGGGAGGGCCCATCCCCTCCTCCACTTGCCGGCTGGAACCTTGTGTCTACCATGTTGGGAGGAAAGGGAAGCAGGATGAGGAAATGAGGCTCCAGGGCTGGGCAGTGGGGAGCCCAGAACGATATTTCCAAGAATTCCATGCCTGAAAGTAGGAGCTGGTGGGTCCTACTTTGGTTAACCAAATCCTTTGGTATCAATAAGACAAGACAGTTTCCCTGGGGCCAACGATTCTCACTACAGAAGGAATCCTGGCTCTGCTTAATAATTGCCAGCAAGGCTCTTCTAAATAACAAACTTCCCAGCACACTGAAATTAGGATTTTACTATCCACAAAGTCAATTCAGGGAATAGCTCCTGGGCATGATCTACACAGGCTGTGGGGACAAGCCACTTCCCTTGGGAGACAGTTTGAGATTAGAATGGGGTTCTTGGTCCTAGGGTCAGAGGAGATTTTTTTTGAGCATCTCTAGGCAGTGGATTTGAGCCCTGTCCAGCACTGTTTTGGATTTAAGTGGAAGGAGAGCAGAGACTTTATACCTTTTCTTGCTTTATGAAAAGGGCATGAGCAGCCCCTTCCAAGAATGGACCTTGTTTGTGGCAGTAAATTAGAAATATCATCTGGAGGGCAAGGCTGTCCTAGGAGAGTAATTTGTGTGTTTTATCTAGACTGCATTTGTGATGTGCATGGCAGCACAGAAAAATAGTACATAATGTAGATTTGCATGTGCTCCACAGGGACCCACAGTGCATTGCAGAGGGAAGGGCCCGGTGCTGGGATCCCAGTTCCACCTCTTCTGACTATGATTTGGGGCCATTCCTTTGTTCTCTGAGCCTTCTTTCCTCATGTGGGAATGGTTGTGGTAATACCAGATCTCAAGGGTGCTCTGAGGATCAGATGAGATCATGTAATTTGAAATCCCATGCAAATCAAGGTACCCATTACAAACACTGATTCTCATGTACAACAACAGTGCTTGTTGTGAAAACCACTCAGTGGTTGGAAAGTTAGCTAAAATTAACATTTGATGGACCAAAAATAGTCCTGTTGCTTTAATCCAAACACAGTCGCCATTCAGGTGTAGATTCTTTCTTCCATAGAAGGAAGCAGTTTCAGCTTATATCAGCTGGGGTATAGGGTCAACTCCTTTCGTTATTTACCTTTTTTTCTTCCCGTGTGGTGGGGATCAAACCCAGGGCCTTGCACTCTACCAGTGAGCCACATCCCCAGTCCCCAGCTCCTTTGGGTTCATCTCTATTCCAAAATGTTCTTGCTCTTTCTACTCTTAAATTCTCTACTTTTACCCATAATGTGTAATTGTGTATTTGGAACAGGCACAGATAATTATTTCTCATCCTTTACATGTAATCTTATTAGTTATGATACAACCAGGTTAAGGATGTAAGAAACTCATGGTTGTTCAGCAAAAAAGGCTTAGCTCACGAGTTTTGAAGCCAGGCAAGACCAGCCTCAGCAATATAGTGAAGGCTGAAGCAGCTTAGTGAGACCCTGTCTCAAAATAAAAAAATAAAAGGGGCTGGGGATGTGGCTCAGCACTTAAACACCACTGAGTTCAACCTCCGATATCAGAAACAAACAAACAAACAAACAAAAAAACAAAAAAACACATACAAAATCACTTGGCCTGCTTAGAAAGGAAATTCATGATTGAGGAGTTTAGTGCATATATATATATATATGTGTGTATATAAGTATGTATATACACACACTGATTATAAATTTTATATATGTATGTATCTATATTATATACATAACTTTTATATGTGTATATAGTCATATCTATTTTATAGACACATGAGTATGTATATAGATATATTTTATAAATACATATGTATGTATGGGTGTGTACAAATATATATATGTTTCTCCACTCTTCTGTATTATCCTTCTTCCAGTTCCAGATGGAAGAAGCTGTCTAAGGAATCAGTAAAGTGATAAAAATGAGTCCTAATTAAAATTTACTCTTCCAAGTCTCATGGCCTGAACTCGTGACCAAGTAAAAGGAATGATATCAAATATTCAAAAATACTTGAAGAAATAAAGCAAGGTGGGCTGGGGATGTGGCTCAAGCGGTAGCGTGCTTGCCTGGCATGCGTGCCACCTGGGTTCGATCCTCAGCACCACATACAAAGATGTTGTGTCAGCCAATAACTAAAAAATAAAAATACTAAAAAAAATTCTTTCTCTCTCTCTCACTCTCTCTTTAAAAAAAAAAAAAAAGCACAGTGATGGATTAACATGGGCTGGGGCCTGGGGCTGTAGCTTGGTAGAGCGTTCGCCTAGCACGTGTGAGATGCAGGGTTCGATCCTCAGCACCACATTGAAAATAAAATAAAGGTATTATGTCCATCTACTATAAAAAATATTAAGAAAAGAACATGGGCTGCAGGGTCAGACAGACCAGAGTCTAAACTCAGCAGTTGCAAGCTGCATTTAGCTGCTCTGAGCTTTGGCTTCTTCATCATTGAAATGGGTATAATAGCACAGGTGTCATGCGGTGGAGCCCTTTTTTATTTTTTCCCCTAAGACATGGTGCTCACCATGTTACCCAGGCTGGCCCCAAACTCCTGGGCTCAAGGGATCCTGCCGCCTCCGCCTTGTGAGTGGCTGGGACTACGTGCACCCACCTATGCGCCCAGCTCCTGCTGTGGTTTTTGAGGATTAGTAATGTGATGTTCTGCCCAGTTCTTTGTGCAGGGCCAGAATGGCAAACCTGCAGAAAACACAAGCTACCATCATTATCATCTTTGTAGAAGATTTTCTGATTGTTTAAAATCTTTATTAAGTGAGATGCTTTTTCTTTTTTTCCCTCCAGTACCAAAACCCAGGGGCATTTAACCACTGAGCCACATCCCCAACCCCTTTAGAAATTTTTTCATTTTGAGAATGGGACTTGAGTCTCACTAAGTTGCTTAGGGTCTTACTAGGTGGCTGAGGCTGGCTTTGAACCTGTAGTCCTCCTGCCTCAGCCTCTCAAGCTGGTGAGATTACCAGTGTGCACCATCACAATTGGCAAGTGAGATTCCTTGAATGATCTTAAAGCATGCTTATAGCTTCATTGATTCAACAGATATTTATGGAGTTCCTACCGTGTGTCAGGCATCCACGGGGAAGTTTCAGAGGAGAGGATTTGCGGGCCGTCATACTTCCAATGAGAGCAAAGCTCCTCTTGCTCTCGCAGCTCTTCCCAGGTTTCAAGGGTTTTAAGTCAGCAATTAATTTTGAATCCTTTGCTGAATTTAT